GGTCCCTAGGCCCATGCTTGCTCACAATGGCACCCAGCACCCAGCGCAGGGCCAGCAGTGCAGGCAGTGCTCAGCAGTCAGGGCACAGCCAGGAAGAGAGAAACCAGGGCTCAGTCCAGGGACAATGCTGAGGCTCCTGCCTGGCAAAAGGCTGGGCATGCAGCAGGCACACAGGCTGTGAGCTGAGAGTGCCTCTTTGCAGCTGGCACTGCCCCTTCTTTCCGGGTAGCTATTGTGAGCCCACACCATGCCAGGTATCTGACTGCATTTCTGAGCCTGTAGAGGATGCTGGGGGAGACCTGCAGGCCACAGTCAGGCCTGACCACACATGATCCTCTGGGTATTCTCAGGGGTCTCTGTCAGGAAAGGCCAGTAGAGAGGTCCTCTGACAAGTGACCACACATAATATTCTTCCCCAGCCCCTTTGTTTTATTCAGATTGGAAATGCACTTAGCTAAAATGTTACTGCTCCACCAAGTGGCATGAGATGAATTTCTGGCTAGTGAAATGTGAACAGAAGTACCTGGTGTTATCTTCAGGAATAGGTTCTCAAAGGGAGCTGATTCACTTGGTGGGGCCCTAGTTCTTTCCCTCACTTCTTCCTCCTGGTCAAATATGCATGTGATGGCTGGAGCACCAGCAGCCATCTTGTGTTGTGAGGTGACACTGAGGCTAGAAGCCAGTATTAGAAGAGTGATACAATAAGGGCTTTCCCAGGTGGCGCTAGTGGTAAAGAACACACCTGCCAATGCAGGAGATATAAGAGCGCAGGTTTGATCCCTGGGTGGGAAAAATCCCCTGGAGGAGGGCATGGCAACCCACTCCAGTATTCTTGCCTGGGAAATCCCATTGACAGAGGAGCCTGCTGGGCTAAAGTCCATGGGGTTGCAGAAGAGTCAAACACGACTGAAGCATCTTAGCATAGCACACAGCACACAATAATATAGGAACTGAGTACCTGCCAAACCTGGATGAGCTAGGCTGTGGCATCTGAAAAAGAAGTACATTTCTGTTTTGCTAACACCTCTGTTATCCTGGGTTTTCTCACATATGCAGCTCTAACTCATCTTAAAAAGCAGGAGCCAAGTGGGCCCAAATATCCCCCCAACAAGGTAGAAGGCCACTTCAGAGTCATACAGGGCATTCCATAGGGGAAAAAAGTTCAGTTCAAGGAAATCCTGGGTCTGTCACAGGCCCTTCTGAGTCCTGGGGGATCCATACTCAACAGAGTGGGAAGGGCCCTGAGAAGAGGGACACTTGTTGGCTTTGTTTAAATAGCATTCCCAAACCTGCTTGACAAAGGAACACTTTCCTCTCGAATCACCTAATAGCAGCCAGAATTGGGGTTTCATGGCACCTCATTTGGGAAACCCTTCAAAGGGTGAATAGGGCATTTAACTGAGACAGCACACTCAAAGGTACTTGGCCCATAGCTGGGCACACAGTATGTGCTCAGTAAGTGCTAGGGCTCCTATTGAAGCTGGAAGTGGGGCCCATGTCAACTCTCAGCATGGAAGTCACCCCAACCCCACCTGGCCCCTCATTCCTGCCTGTTCCAGGCCAGCACCCTTGCCCTGCCTTTTCTCCTGTTTCTGTGGGGCAAGGTGGCCCCCTGCAGAGGCCCAGGGGCTGGGGGCAGAGCACTGCGGAATTGGGTGGCATCCACCTGGGGAAGAGTTGGTTTGCAAAGCTGCAGCAGCAAGGAAGGCATGGGGTAAAAAGTTTATCAGAGGAATACATTTTTTTCTGTTTTGGCAGAATTTAACGGGTGCAGATTGCTCAGGTCCCAAAGCCATGGGGAAAAAAAAGAAAAAGCCCTTTGCCGCTGCTATTGATAACTTGTCTCTCCACGTGGTGGGTTCAAAACTAAAAATACTCTTCTCCGACGGCGGGGAAGCCGAGCGCTGTCACATTGCAGAGGAGAGTTGAAAGCTGTGTGGGGAAGGTACCACGTGGGCCATGTGAGGGCTGGGGCCCCTCGGCAGTGGCCAGTCACCCTCTGCTCACCCAGGATGCATCCAGACAGAAGATTTCCTAGCATTCCACAGAAGGAGAGAGGGAAGTTTTCATTCCATGGAGCAGCAGAGTGGGCAGGGAGAGGAGTGACCTCAAGGGGGCCTCCCCAGGGGCAAAGGCCAGGTCGGCAATCCCAGGCACCTGGCATCCTTGGATGCCTAGCTCTGTTGCTGCTCTGGCCACAGATAGAGATAAAAAGATTCACCCAGGCTCAGAAACCTACTGGAAAGGAAAGTATGAAGCTGGGGATAGAGCAGTGGGCTGCAGGCAGGGCTGGCTCCACTGTCCCGCTTGGCAGTGTCACCACTGACCCAGACCTCCTGGACCTCAGATCTGCATCTCAAATAGGTGCCCAGGTGTTCCTGGAGCCTGGGGGGCTTGGCTTGTGGCCTCTGAGCCTCAGTTTCACCTCTGAAGGGGGGAGCGATGATCTCTGTTCTGCCTCCTGAAGTGATGGAAGGAAGGGGGATGATGCACATGAATGTGCCTCCTGAGGGCAAAGTGAGGGCATGTGCTCCACCACGCTGGGGCCTCTGGAGCCCAGGATGCAGGGCTTCGTGCCCACGAGTTCAGTTGGCGACTGAAAGGAGAGGAGTTGTGGGCCACAATATCACCTGATCCTGATTCAGAAACAGCTGGGACAGGGAGGCTCCAGTCATGCTCACTTGGGGTCAGGGGAAGGTCACAGGCAGACATGACTGCAGGGCTGGTCTGATTTTTGTCAGATCTGAGAGCAGTTGCAGTGGGGCCAGACACCCAGCACTTCTCAAACTGAGAGCACACACAGGACAGACCCTGGGGCCCTGAAGGGACTCTGGGGCCAAGCTAGGCCCGAGTGCTCAGGATGAAGGGGGACACTACAATGACCCCTGCAACCATGGGACAGGAATCAGCTGACGTCCTGGCCACGAGCCATGCCCTCCAGGTTCCAGGAACACCTGGGCACCTATGTCAGATGCAGATCCTGGTCCAGGAGGTCTGGACAGGGCTTTGTCTTTCTGGCAAGCTCTGGGACTGGGCCAGGCAGGAACATACCAGGTCAGGCCACTTCCTCATTGCAGGTCCTGGGTGAGTCACTTCCCTGATTGAGGCTCAGTTTGCTCATCTGTGAAGTGGGAATGATGACCCACAGTATCTATTGGATTGGCTGTTGCAAACATGAAACTAGCTAATGTCAGCTTTCGTCATCATTGTCTGGCCCCACACCCTCTTTGTCTGCTTTCCTGCTCCTAGTTTTCAGCCCATTCCTGGAGAATTTTGCCTCTGGAATTGGCCTCCTGACCTAGTGAAGGTCATAAGAAATGTTCCTGACTGGTCCCAAGGCACTCTCCTTGCAGCATCTAGCTGGGGGAGGATTCCTGTCCAACCCACAGGCACAGGAAAGAGGAAGCAACAGCTGACACTCAGAACCCAGTTTGCTGCATTTGTTTGAAGGGGATGAACACCCCAGCCATGGGACCCACCTGGGATTGGAGCCCACCCCTACCCCTAAGGCCAGGGCGGAGATGGCCATGCTTAGTGTGGTCCATGGGCAGACGAGAGGATCATTCAACCCCAGCCTGTCTCCTGGCCTGAGCACACCCTTGTGCACTCACCTCTGGAGTTCACGGCTGAGGGTGGGCTGGTTGGTCAAACCCCTCAGGAGCATGTCCTTCGCCTGGGGGTCAGAGTCTTAGAGGCTTGTCAGAGTAACAGACCCTGCGCTGGACTCAGGCCAGGCCCACGAGGGAAACTGCGGAGCATCTCCGTGGCAACCGGCCTTGTCCTTGTCCTGGCTTGGGAGCCTGCACACTGCACCCTTCCCTCTCCTGCTGGAGTCGTTTCTTCAGAGGTAACCATGGCAATGCCTTTGTTTCCGAGGCTGAGCCCCGCCTCCCTCCCAGCTTTTCTCTTCAGCAGTGGCTGGGAGAGCTCCTTTTCAGTCCCCGCACGTCTCCAGCACCCACTGACAGTGGGCCCACCGGTGAGCCAGGGCCAGACCTTGGCATGGAGATGACTGGTTTTCTGGGCTCAGAAACGCAGTTCAGGTCCTGGTCGTGCTGCACTTGCTTGCGCCCCACTATTTACAGGCGGCACCTTCATATGCACGGGGCTGCAGAGGCAGCTAAGGCTTGCCCTCAAGGCACCCCAGCTGGAAGTGGGGAAGTGTTCTGAGGAGGGAGTGCAAAGGCCCAGGGGGCTGGTGCTGAGGAGGAGACAGTGAGGAGCAGAAGCCCAGCACGTGCTCTTTGACTGGGGAGGTCTGTCAGCACTCTTGTGGCTCCAGGGTCCCACCTCAAACTGGCTTAAGCAGAAAGGAAAACGTGGTGACTCACTTGCCTGAATTCTTGCCTAGAGATTCCCACGGACAGAGGAGCCTGGTGGGCTACAGTCCATAGCATGGCAAAGAGTCAGACACAACTGAAGCAACTTAGCACGCACATGCCTGAAAAGTCTAGATAGAGCTAGCCAAGGTGGCAGCTGGTTCCAGGTGAGCCAGGGGTATTTGCTCTTGCTTTCCTCTGGGTTAGTCTCGTCTGAAGGTGGCCCCTCCCCTCACAGTGACAAGATGCCCATCAGTAGCCCCAGACTTACATCTTTCTCTCACCTAGCCTAGTTCTGTGGAGGTCTGTGGGTAGATGGGAGAGTCATTTGACCTCAGTTTTCCCTCTGGCCTGAGCTATCTGACCCTCAGTGAAAGTCCCAGTAATGACCCTCACTGGCCAGCACAGGGTCACCTGCTCACCCCTGAACCACTTGCTGTAACTCTCAGCAGTCAGCCTGATTCATGTTACTCCACTCACCCCAAATCAGACCTAAGACTTAGATGGGATTGGGTAGGAGAAACCTGGTTTGCAAAGGAAATCTTGGTACTCATATGTTCAGAGACGTTAGTTTACTTGCCCACAGCCACACAGCTGGTAAGGATGCAAGCTCGGATCTGACTCCAGAGCTTCTGGGCTTAACCGTGGAGCCACTATAGTCAGTAAGAGCCCTGAAAGGTTTTAAACAAAGGAGGGAACGGTCAGGAGGGTAAACTGGCGCCGGATTTTGGTGAGTGGTGAAAGGTATGGCACGGAGGGTGGACGGTGAGAAGCCCTGCATGCTGCTGAGGAAGGCAGTTTTTTGAAGGGTGACTCCGGGTTCCGCCCGTCCCCAGGCTTTGGGAGCGGCAGGCGCAGAGGCCCCCGCACGCGGAGCATCAGCGACCCGGCCACCTGACTCGCTGTTTGTAAACTCAGCTCACCCAGCCACGCCCCTTCCTTCCTCTGGCCCACCCTTTTCGCGTCTATATCTGCATAATCCCGCCTTTCCCCTCTTTGATTGGTCTTCCGCATCGTCACTCCTCCGCAAGGGCCGGACTCCAGAGGGGCTGAAGGCGGGGCCTATCTGGTAACGTAATTAGCATAGTCCCGCCTACCAACACCGCCCTCGGGTCGAGCGTTGATTGGACCGGCGGCGGCCGACGCGACGGCGCCGGGCGCAGCGAGTGGCGAACGTGGGCTGTCAGTCGGCGGGGCGGCCGGCCGCACTTCCGCCTCGGTGTCAGTGGGTCGCGGGCCTGCGGGGCGGGGGCGGGGCGGGCAGCGGGACTCGGCGGGCGGCGGAGGGACAGCAGTCCAGGTGAGTGACCCTGTAGGGACCCCGACTCTACGTCTCCCGGGAACCGCGCCCGGCGTCGGGCGGGCAGGCCTGGGCCTCGGGCGGCAGGGAGGCCGGGCCCGGCTAGGGGGGAGCCAGAGCCTCGCCCCCCCCCGGCCCCTGGCCAGGCCTCGACCCCAGCCCCGGCCCGCCCGGTCTCCCGCCGCCAGCCAGCCCGCCGGCCGTGTCCTGGGTCCGAGAAAACTTGGGAGGAAAGTTGGCGGCCGGCGGCTGGGACGGCCCGCGGGCGGGGACGGCGGGCCTGGGTCCCGGGCGGCCGCCCAGACCCCGCGTCTCCGGGCAACTGCGGCTCCGGTGCTGGACAGCCGGCCGCCGCACCCGGAAGTGGACTGGAGAGCGGGCCCGGGAGCCCTCCAGCCCCTCTCAGCGGCAGAGATGAGTCGAGGGGAGCATTGGGCAGGGGTGGCGGGACCCCCGACTTTCCCTTGTGTCTAAGGTAGCCGCGTCCGCGGTCAACCAGTCTGCAAGGGCACGCGGTGAAGAGCCAGTGTCCCCGCTCGTGGTGCAGCCCTCCCTCTCCTGCCCTCCTTTCCCCTGCCCTGCGACCACCTGTGGGTTTGTCTGTGCCCTTCGAGGTTTTGTGCCCATGTCCACCCCCTCCCCTGCTCTTCCTTTTGTTTTTAATTTGTCTACTTAGCAGACTGTACGTACTGCAGAGAGCTCTCCACCTAACACATGTTAGGTAAGTTAGATATGTAATCTGATTTTAAAAGCTTCCTTCTTTCTGCAGTTACATTTCAGTAATCAGCAGAATAAATCTTGAGACTTAATAAGCCCAAGACTTATTAAGGACAAGACTATTGGGTAATCAGCAATCAATCTTCCCAGGTTTTTCTGGGAGAAGCAGCTGGGTGGTGTTAGGCTGTCCCTGGCACTCTTGAGTGTGAGGATCACCTCCCAGGAAGCTGGGTTCCTGTCCTTGGGGTCAGTCTGGGACAAACTCTGGACCTCCCAGCAGCAGCATCCTGTGCCTTAGTCCCTTTGCTGGGGCGGCCTGTGCACATTTGGAGACGTGGTCTCACGCTGCAGTTCAGCAGACGTCTCTGGGGTGCCCGCTGCATGCCTGGCTGTGAGCTGCAGGCCGTGTCCATCCAGTGGGGTTGGGGAGCGGAGGTGTCCCGGGACCCCTGTCATTGTGGCTCCTTGTCCTGGTGGCAGAGCGAAGGCCCTTCCTGACTGTGCCCTGAGCAGTGTTTGCCCAGGACTCCTGGCCTCAGTTCCTTCCTCTGTGACACATAGCCATGTTCCTGGCAGGGCTGATAAGACAACAGGTGCAGCGCTTGTCTGCAGCAGCTCTGACATGTGGCAGGTGCACGGTTGTTAACTCTCTGCCCCTTGGTTGTGGACAGGAACCTTACGGGCTGCACTTGCTCCTTGTCCTGCGCAGCGCCTGGCAGGGTGCTGTTGTTCAGTGTGGGGACAACCGAAATCTCCTTAGAGCTTACTTTTTCTGTTTGCTTCACCTGTCCTTCTGTTAATAAGCTCTTACCCAAGATGACAGTAATACCTGACAAGTGTTGTCCAGGACTGCTGTAAGCACATTATATTCACTTGATTCATGTGGTTTTCACAACAGCCTCCAAGACTCTTCCTTAGTTCCATTATCCTGTGTCTAGTCATGAGAAGGCTGAGGAACAGAGAGGTTAAGTGTGTGTACTTAGTCGGCTCAGTCGTGTCTGACTCTTTGAAACCCTGTGGACTGCAGCCCGCCAGGCTCCTCTGTCCTTGGGGATTCTCCAGGCAAGAATACTGGAGTGGGTTGCCATGCCCTCCTCTAGGGGATCTTCCCAACCCAAAGACCAAACCCACGTCTCTTGCCTTGCAGGCAGATTCTTTACCATCTGAGCCACCAGGGAAGTAGAGAGGTTAAGTGACTTACTCTAAAGCACATAGGAGTAAGTTATAGAGCAGGGATTTGAACCGAGGCAGTCTGGCTCCAGGGTGCACAGCCTTAAATACCTCTCTATACTGCCTTTTAAAACCAACATTTTCTTTTTCAAGGTCCCTTCAGCATTTTTCTGTGGAACGTTTAATTGCCTCATGACTGTGTGTCAGAACTTTGTTTTTTGCAGCACACGTAACTGATAGCTTTTCATTTGGGGTGAGCGTGAATGTTTATGAAACCGTTTAATTTCTTCTGAAATAAAGTAGTAATTCTCTATCTGGCTATCCAGGATTTTGCTGAAATACCCTGCCTGCTGCCCAGTTCTGCAGTCAGTGGGGAAGCCGCTAATGTTCGCCGTGTGAGGGGGCAAGTTGAGGGGGCAGGGGTGACATGGATGGATGTGCTATTGGGCCCAAGCCTGTGGTTTTGAATTCATTTCTGTGTGAGCTTGATCGGTAAACTTAAGGCTGTAAACTGTGCACTGAGGGCTTTCCTTTCTCCTCCTAGGTGTATTCAGAGGGGTCAGGCTCTGGCTTACCATTTTCAGAAGCAGTGTCATTTTAGTGTTTAAAAAGTGCCACTTGACCTTCATCCCACTGCATCTTATCTTTAGGCCCTCCAGGAAATGCTAGCAAACGAGTCTTGGATAAATACTTAAAACCAGCCTGACTTTAAAGATCTTGGTACAAATCTTGGTAAAATCTTCAGCTAATTATGAAATGTTGGAAACATTTTATATATTCTTATACTGTCTTCAAATGATTTCTTTAGTATTCCTGTGAAAAGCCAACGCCCATCTTTTCCTAGGAGTTGGGCTGTGTGGGTATAAGGCATGCAAGGCTTGCGTCTTTGAGCAAGGGTTGTGATGCTGGCCCTCAGGTGGCTGAAGTGTTCTATCTGAGAGGTTAGGAATCTTCCTGGAAGTGGCCTGAGGCTCTGCGGTTCTGGCCCCTTGGCTTTCTTTGATGGGAGGAAAGTTACTCATCTGCTCTTGCCTCAAGGGTGCTGGCCTGTAAAGTGGGCTATTGCGTAGGTTATATGTGAAAATGTAACTGAGTGGACCTGGCACTGTCATAGATTCTCAGTAGACTTTCAGTCGCAGACCTGAGAGCCCTGAAATTGACCTCTCCCGACACTGACACAGACAGACAAATGCAACTTATCAGTGAAGGGAAACCAGGGAAATCTTTGGTAGGTAGATTTGCAGTTCTACTGAAATGAGCTACAGTAACACTTTTTTTTTTTTTTTTTACAGTAACACTTTTAAGATATGACTATTCAGGTGGAGTTGTCTTGTAGGAAGACCCCTGGACCAAAGCATTATCTCTTCTGGGGCTCAGGCCCACAGACAGAAACTTCGTGCACTTTAAGATTGAATTGATATGGATCCTGGGAGGAAGTTAGCATTTGAACATAATTATTTACAAATACTTAAATCCTAAGAATCGTTAGTAGTTTAGGTCTTAGTTTGGGACTTTCAATGCAGTTTCTGTGCACCGTGATTAATTTAATTTGTGTGTCTGCTGCAGTGTGTATTTGTCAAAGCATTTTTGCTGATAAATCCCAGGCATTGGCGTTGCAGCCGTATTGCCCTCTGGCTGGAAGCGTGTGTGGAATACTGGCCCAGCCCGGCAGCTCTCCTTAACAAACATGTAACGAAATGGTCACTGTAACCCATCCGGGATCTCTGTGGCTCTTACTTCCTCTTTTTTCCAAATTCAGAAAAGCACTTGGGGGTCATCGGGCAGCGTTTCAAAGCATCACCATCTTTCAACTGGCTTTCCCAGTGATATAAACACTCGTACCTGTGCGATGAGCTGGACAGCGGAGCTCGGCCTTCAGAAAAGACTGTGTTTAGAGACGTGGAGGTGTGGAGACCTCTTTGCCTGATGTTTATTTGTCTCTTTGCTTTCTCATTTCATCAGTGGAGTTCTTGCAGGATTTCTTTTGAGATGCAAACTCCGAGTCAATGCTGGCCTGGTTGGCCCTGCACCAGCCCGGCCCTTAGCCTGGGGGCCTGGGGGGGGGAAGGAAGTCTGCTCACCCCTGGGCACTGGGGTCATGGCAGGAGGAATGGTCTGTGTGGCTCTGGGTGAGGCAGACCTGTCTGACCTCGAGCTCATATCTTTATCAGAGTGGTGGGCCCACTGGCCTTGACAGGTGCCCGGGACAGGTGCCTTCCAGGCTGGGGGAGAGCCTGGCATGAGAAATTGTCTTGTGCAAAGTCTTCCTGAACCCAGATTCTAGAAAAGACGACAGCAGTCAAGGGGGGGGGCAGGGGTAGGTGTGTGTTTTACTGAACAATTGAAACGCTGGTCGTGAGAAAAGATCAGCTGTGACCTGGCACCTGTGCCACCTTGCTTGGCTGAAAGGTGAGTTCCACTGTTGCCTTAAACCAGGGAAGTGTGTGCTCTGACGGCCAAAGCAGGCAGCTTTGTGGATGAAAAGGAGCACCTCAGAGAGAGCTCCAACAGTGACAGGTGTGAACTGGGGCCGTGACCAGGGAGGGCCAGGGCATCTTGTCCCCATCTTGGTACCAGTTGGGCACCAGTGCCTGTGTTCTGAGAAAGCATTAACCATGCGGCATGTTCCGACACGTGAGGGAGAGGGCTGGAGGGCCCAGGGCCGCCATGAAGTCCGTCTTGGAGGTAGGGTGCTGTGGGTTCAATGGCAGGGCTTCTTACCGGAAGAACTTGTGCAACTCTGTAAAAAGTGGAGGTTCCAGGCCCAGACCTCACCTCCTGGGAGCGGGCTCCTAGGCGGGAGGCCTGGGTTGTGTGTGCGCCCCAC